TTCCTGGTCAGTAAGGGCATTCATAATCGGTAAGGTCATTCCTGGCGACTTTGACTCATTCCTGATCAGTAAGACTCATTCCTGGTCAGTTAGGGCATTCATGATCGGTAAGGCCATTCCTGGTCATTAAGACTCATTCCTGGTCATTAAGACTCATTCCTGGTCAGTAAGGGCATTCATGATCGGTAAGGTAATTCCTGGTGACTTTAGCTCATTCCTGGTCATTAAGACTCATTCCTTGTCAGTAAGTTAATTCCTGGTGAGTTTGACTCATTCCTGGTAATTAAGACTCATCCCTGGTCGGAAAGGTCATTCCTGGTAAGTAAGGTCATTCTTGGCTCACGTTGCACAAAACAACCTTAGCGCTACGACTGTCGTAAGTCTGTATTAAGGTATGGGAGTTACGATCACCCTAGCGGCAAGATCGCTTTGTACAACGGCACCCTGATCAGTAAGGTCATTCTTGGTCAGTAAGGTCCTCGACACCGTATGCGTATCGCGCCGTCTGATATGAGGATATGTTGGAAAACCGGTTCGCCCCGATTATGTTTCAAGGTTTGTCAGCACCATACGCGCTCGTGGGTTTCGCCAAAGTGGTAAACGTCTGAGACCTGCATCACTTCAGGCTTTCCTCCCACATTTAGATGACACGCAGCGATATAACTGGAATACTGTTCAAAGTGGTGTGTAATTGAGAGAGGCCGTTACGCTAACACAAAGGCAGAAGAAAGATACCGTTTAAGTGCATCTTAAGTCAGGCTATTCTAGCCGTTTATTAACGGCAAGAATAGTCCTATCGAATATCTGAAGATCTATTAAACCCTAGCGCAAGCTCTGCATACGTAATTTACAAAACTGTATCTCAAAATTTCTCAGAAGTCCGGCTTCCCCTCTCTGTTGAATTCATAATTATATTTGGCATATTACATTATGTTCCGTGTTCTTATCTCTGTGTCTAATCAAATGTTACACAGTACTGCTTGTTGCTACTTTTGTGGAGATGTACTCTCCCCAATAAAGGTGTTTGTGAACAAACAATATCTTATCTGATCTGTATCCCAATAAATCAGAAATCAAATATCCACTTACTTTAAACAACACATTACCGGTCCACTTCCAACATTCTACGAAACATAATTATTTCATTCATTCGGCTTGAATCTCGTTGTATTCCCTTGTTTACTTTAGTTTTCTGAAGTTATATCCCCCGGAGCAGATTACAACTAGGAACATGTTACCACAACGCGGACATTCACTGAATTATTCACTCAACAAGCAGTTGATTTAATTACACGGATCGACTACAAGTCAGCTGTATGATGTTACCACGTCCAAGACGCTCGGCCGCCAGGCAGGAAGTGTTCCAGGTGCCTACATCACCAGACTGGACCATGGCATGATTTGGGTCAGAGTTCACGTGTGTGACTTATCCCATGGTGGAGTAGACTCATGCTTAGTCTCTGAAAATATATAATTTTGGTAGAAACAAACAACATTTATATTGAAAAGGAGCCCAATGAACCTGTTGAAAATCTAGACTTGCTGTATTTTGGGCTGTGTGTTACAGTAAGGGCTGGGCGGAAGGGAAAATTATATGGTTCCTCGACTGTGAGACAGTCTACATGGTGGAGATTCGTCACGTGAATCTTATTTATTATTTATATGCAAATATGTACTTTGTCAAGTCACTAAATTGCCGTTTCGTTGTATTGTAGATTACCCCTAGGCGTTGAGAGTTTATTGAATGTTTTATACTAAATACACAAACACTCTTTAATTAAACATCGTCCTTTGTGAACACAAATACAGTACGACCACTACTGAATGTGTATTGAAGGCTGTTCTTGTGTTGATGTGGAATTACTCGTGGGGCCACAAAAGTGTCGGAACTCAGAACCGACAGATGTCGGATTTCACATGATAATAGTGGGCTGTTCCGCGACCAAAAACTGGTGTCGTATATTAGCCGGTATGTCGGATTAGACAGATGACAGATAACACAGAGTCTGCTGTGACTGCACCAGTGGAATATACAGGGAAAAGTCCGGCAACTTCGCATTCAGGACAATTGTTGTTTTGCACGTCTTCTTACATATACTACACAACTCTTGATTTTGTTTGTTTGTTTGTTTGTTATTTAACGCCGCACGTAGCTTATTCCAGCTATATGACGGTCTAAAAAATAATCAAGTCTGGACCAGACAATCCTATGATTGACTTCATGAGTATCGATCTACGCAATTGGGATACGAAGACATATCTTCAACAAAGTCAGCGAGCCTGACCACCTGATCCCGTTTGTCGCCACTTACGACAAGCATGGGTTGCTGAAGACCAATTTTGACCTGGATCTTCACAGTTCAGAACTCTTGATTGGGATAATGAGCTGTTACTGTTATGAAAATCACATTATATATATATATATATATATATATATATATATATATATATATATATATGTGTGTGTGTGTGTGTATGTGTGTGTGTGTGTGTGTGCGTGCGTGCGTGCGTGCGCGCGCGTGTGTGTACTTATATTTATTTGAACTTAGTATGCCAGTCCCATTGCTTTCAACTCGTATGCAATACACTCTATACAACTAGTCAGATTGAACTCTCACCTCGACTCTCAGCATATCCCTTTCAAAATTTGAGTAGTGTAAACAAAGGGACATTGCTTGGATTCAGGGATAGAAAAGGTTATATATCAAGTGTACCATATATACTTGTGTGGGAGCCACGGATGGAGATTGGGTGGTTCCAATGGCCGAGGACCGCCACCGTGGTCTAGTGGTAGAGAGTCCGAGAGCGGTAGGTCCCGGTTTCGATCCCCAGCCGCGTCATAGTAAATGATGTTAAAAGATGGTACTTGTTGCTACCCTGCCCGGCGCTCGGTATAAAGGGTCTCTCTCTCTCTCTCTCTCTCTCTCTCTCTCTCTCTCTCCCTCTCTCTCTCTCTCTCTCAGGCACGTCACTAAAATAATGTTGGAGGCGACGTGAAATCCCATTTCACCTCACCTCTCAGTGGCCGACTTGTCTGGTCTCAACTACTGGTCTGCTTGGCTCCGCATTGGGACATTGCAGGTTGTAAAACACCATTCACTCACTTCGCACTCTGAATTAATGGGGCTTCGTTTCATCACTTACGTGTCTTCAAGCACGGATGGCACCAACAGTGTTAATTCTTAGATTAACTGGTCCAGCAAGAAACCAAACTGATTATGCATCTGATTGAAGCTTTGGCACGACCCCTGGTGAAGTTGGCGTGACACTGGACACAGACACGGAGACTGTAACTCCAGTACTACACGTACGGACACATGTCTTCTGTGGTTACAAGACTCGTGAGATCTACAACGCAAAGCTAATTTGTAAATCTTACGAAAATCATCCCAATGATCCGGCTCTTGTCGACAGTTCCAGGTCACCCCGATAGGAAAATATTCTTTTGTGTGTCGACTGCCATGTCGCCGTGTCCTTCAGTGCACCTCCCCACCCCTACCCCAACCCCCATGTCAACCCAACCACAACCCGCTCCACGACACGCCACCACTTCTCCCCCATGTCGACCCAACCACAAACGCCCACGCCACCACACCCGTCGGCCTTGATTTACATACACCAGGTCTGGTGTTTGAGTACTATTGACGTTTAAATGGCCGACACAGATTTTCCTTCAACAACGCCCAAGGTGATAATATGGTGATGTTCGTGCAACCTCGTCTTATCTCAAACCCCGTGAAGATCCGGGATAAAATTGGTCTTCAGCAACCCATGATTGTCGTAAGAGGCGACTAACGGGATCGGGTAGTCAGGATCGCTGACTCAGTTGATTGATGTCATCGTATCCCAATGGCGTGGATCGATGCTCCTGGTTACAATTGTCTGGTCCAGACTTGATTATTTACAGACCGCTGAAATATTGCTGGAATTTTGCTTGGTGTGGCATTAAACAACAAACAAACAATCTTGGGTCAATTAGGACATAATTGTGAATGGGTATTATATACGGTAACCATCTCCCAAGACCAGGATGTGTCTGGATCGTTGTTTAAACACTACGCAAACCTATCTGGTTTGTCTAGTTCATGCACGGCTTCTAGATAAAGTAGTGTTCTTTCTATCTTCGGCGTGAACCACAATCCACCCACTAACTTCACCAAAAGTACCTCTGGGGCGGTTGGGTAGCCTAGTGGTTAGAGTGTTAGGTTGTCACGCCAAAGACCCGGGTTCGATTCCACACATATGTGAAGCCCATTTCTGGTGTCCCCTCCGTGATATATTTGGAATTGCTAAAAGCGGCGTAAAACCATACTCACTCACTCAGCAAAAGTAACACAAGACAGGTAATAGCCTTTAAAGTGCTAGGGCTGGGACGAGTCCAAATTTACTACCCGGGTGCCCACCCCCCTATTACCCGACCCTACCTGGGTACCCACTGTAGGTTTCAAGAGATACAAAATGTCAGATTGGGAATTATTTTTTTCCCACAGCACTTGCAAAATGTATTTAGATACATGTATTAAACGATCTGGTTATGCATGCACTGAAGTTGACTTAAGTTATATCTTTATTCAACCATATGAAAGGTCAGAATGAATGGGTGCATAGTCAGAATGAAATGCGAACATTAGTGACTTGTAGTGTAACCATAGAGTTCAAGATAATTTTTGTCATTAAACAATATACCACGTGACTAACCACGGGTCCGGGTAGTCCTGTGGGTACCCGGGTCCTACTCAGTACCCACCCGGCCCGGATACCCGAATTACCCGTCCTAGCCCTATAAAGTGCCTACCTCCCTGCAGACCAACTCAACTCCGTGAGTTTAACCAATGCCAGTTCTAATAATACCTCAGAGAAAAAGAATTAATTCTCAGAGCATGTTAACATTAAGCCCTGGGAACATCTGTGGCTATTTGGAATCATTCCATATTTGCCTGCACTGCAACCAACCATCATTTCACCTCTTATCGGAAAACTCCAAACTCGCCATTTTCTCCTCAAGATCTCGCATCGTCAACACGACTCGATTGATTCCTTTTAAAATATTTCATTTAACCACCAAATTCAGAGTGCGGATGAAGGCAACAGCACATATGTCTATCACATCAGCGTCACCGTGCATATCGCTACACAAGCCAGGCGGGAGTCCTCTTCCCGTGTAGTCGAGCGGGTGTGTGCTGGTGAGGGAGCTAGCTAATACCTTACTCTCCCGCTATATGTCTCGTCTGCCTTTCGTCAGCCTTCGTCGTGTCGGTTCTCAAGTTTAGCCGGTGGAGGGGTTTAGCCTGAAGAATCATTAGACTTCTCCCTGGACATAGGATCGTAAAAACATCCTAGAATCGGATCTGTCCCAGGCAGCCAGACGGAAACCATTCTACCTTGCTTCTGTGTGAGTACGGGCTGTGTTAGAGAATCGCTATACTGACTGACGAGCCCGGAGAACACGTTATTCTGCATGGGATACACCATGGGATTTTAAATATTTCAGGTAAGTGTCGTGCATTCATGTTTTTTTTTGTTTTGTTTTTAAACGAACTCCTAACGCTACCTACATGTTATTAGAATCATGTATGATTCTAAAAACATGTTAAAACAACAGGTTATCTGTTACTTATCTTATACTTATAAATCGTTTTGACATATACATTAGCCTTTATAGGATGAAATAGAAAACAATAAATCGAAAATTCGGAAATTATGTTTAAAATAATGTTTTCATATTCCTCATGGAAAATGCGGCCCACGATTGCCGTAAAAGACGACTATGGCGACTGACTTTGTTGATGCATGTCATCGTATCCCAATTGCTTGGATCGATGCTCATGATATCAATCACTGGATTGACTGGTCCAGACTCGATTATTTACAGACCGCCGTCATATATCTGGAATATTGCTGAGTGCGGCGTTAAACAACAAACAAACAAACAAACAAACGAACAATGGAAATACGATTAAACCTCCTTAGTCCGGACATCGCCACATTCCGGACCTAACTTATGACGCTTCGTGTACACACAGCGACGTTAGACAATAATGGTGATCAATTCGTGAGTACGGAGATTTGTTTATCCGGACGGCTTCAGTCCGCTACCATCCGGATTAACGAGTTTCACTCAATGTGAAACTAATATTACATTTAGTCAAAGTTTAAGCCTTTCGTATGAATTATTTATTGTGAGAGAAAATGTCTACGATGCCCCTCCCCTTTGCGATGAGTGCTTGGCCACATCATGGCCCTACTATGTATTATTCACCCAGGTCGACTCATCTCCGTTATTCATCTTGGACACTCACTCTGTATCAGCTAAGGATGTTTCGTGTATCTTCACATCCTCATCCGCAATGTACACACACCTGTCCCGCCCACATCATCAGTACACGTTTGTTAAGTGCCTACAGTATCACACAGGGATGATAAGGTCAATATCAGCGATCGGCATTAATAACACATACATGTACATACATCTAAACTTGATAAGCTGTAGCACTCCTAATGTATAATTTATTATTTTAATAAAATGGTTAATGATTTATAGCATTAATAACACGGGTCCGTATGGACAATGACGTCAGAGCAATCTGTTATCGATCCATCAAGAGACGGATCGGTGATATTGGCCATCGTTGTTATATGAGGCCGTTACGCACTGATTGTTATAGCAGGATATTAACATATAACGCTGCTGATTGCGGTTATAACATGTTATTGTGAGTGAGTGAGTTGTGTTTAACGCCGCTTTTAACAGTATTACAGTTATTTCACGCTGTGTCAACTTAAAGTGGGAGGACATCCCGAAATGATGCAGATATTAGACGTTTACCACTTTGGTGAAACCCACGAGCACGGGCATGGTGCTGACAAACCTAGAAACATAATCGGGGCGAACCGGGATTCAAACCCACAATCATAGGTTTCTGGCGAGCCCAAGGGACGTAACTCTGCACAACGAATTGCGGCGCCTTAGACTACTGGGCCACCCGTGCCCCCACATGTTATTGAGATGGCTGTATATATATATATATATATATATATATATATATATATATATATATATGCATCTTATAACAGTTATTTAACATGTCTGGCTTTGATATCACATGGGTTATTACGGCTGTGGAAATTGATACGGCATGGCATTACATGATTATGATTACATAATTTCATATCAGGCCGAGTTAGCAGAGGCAGCTAATGGTACGTCGTTTTATGACTACAGTAGACATTAACGCGTTTAAAGCGTTATGAAATGTCTGTCTGCTATAGATTTTTTGTTACATGCTTTGCTTAGGAATGGGACATTATAACAGCTTCATTCCACAGTGATCAGAAAATAAAACCTGATATACGATCATGATATTGATCCAATATGACTGGCTCTGATATCATACTCGTTATAACGTGTGTATTACTTGACTTGACTTAAACACATGCTCCCTGTAGGTTATAACATTTATATCTTCTGCACGACTGATACATTGATGCATAGATCAACACATATATATCAGACTGACTTATCTATCTCAGTGTAAACATGACATATATATATATCAGTTATCACTGACTGACTCAAAATCATGACACGCTTAACTTGATATTTTATATCAACGTAAGATGTATCACGTGTTTAAACACACATATTAAATTGTTAAGAAAAAAAACAAAAACAAATATTGCCAGTGTAAAAGGAAAATCTTTCCAAGTAAAAAAACATGGGAATAATTCAATTTGATCAAACAGTACAAAGGAACATTTTCTCTACAGGAACAGATACTCCTTGACATTATCAATGTATCTGTTGACCCGTGAAGATCCGGGGAAGAGTAGGTCTTCAGCAACCCATATTTGCCGTAAAAGGCGACTATGCTTGTCGTAAAAGGCGACTAACGGGATCGGGTGGTCAGGCTCGCTGACTTGGTTCATATCCCATTTGCGTGGATCGATGCTCATGATGTCAATCACTGGATTGTCTGGTCCAGACTCGATTATTAACAGATCGCCGTCATATAGTTGGAATATTGCTGAGTGCGGCGTTAAACAACAAACAAACAAAACAAACAAAACAATGGTTCTGTTACGCCGCACGATGTCTGTCGTGCAATTCCTACAGAGAGAAGCCTGGCGAATATTTGTCGCACCCGAATTCACCCTGCCTTGTAAGGACTCTGAGATATTTTTACTCCGTGTTCCAAGTACTCGCGTTTCGCGGAGCCTACTACCTCTGTAGCGCTAACGCACCTACTGGTAAACGCTAGTCCTCCTGACGAGGTTCTTGATGTTGTACAATACAGAAGCCACGAAAGAGGCAAATATTGATTTTGGACATCAACGAAATCAAACATATTAATTACAACAAATTGATTGTGCGTTCCTTAGAAGTTGCGAATATATTGCCTGTGGTCATTATGTTAAAGCCATGTCGTTTTGGATTCCGTCGTTAACCAGATTATTGATTAAACCTCAAATTGAAATAGACGAACGTGAAGCCCAGTGGTTAGTGTGATCGCTCTTCATATGGGTAGCTTGGGATCGAATCTAAATATGATGCTGGCTTCAATACGAACACACCTACTTAACACCCCAGACCCTAAATCCAATACATCTGGGTTGTATTGACATGTTTTTGACGGAGTAGCTTTCAGGGTAAGGCACGGGCTCGCTACGCCTAATGATCGTGTTCGATTCCAGTCATTGGTGATGTGCGAAGCCTGTTCTTGGTGACCCTTTGTACTGGAATTATACTAACAACCATACCATTACTTTTGTTTTGTTTGTTGTTGTTTAACGTCGCACTTGGCAATATTCAAGCTACATGACGACGGTCTGTAGATAATCGAGTCTGGACCAGACAACCCAGTGATTGGTACCATGATCATCTATCGACGCAATTGGGGTACAAGACATGCATCAATAAAGTCACCAAACCTGACCACCCGACCCCGTTAGTCGAGACTTGGCGATGCTGGAGACAAATTCTAACCTGGATCTTCACGGGGGACAAGCATGGGTTGGTGAAGACCAGCTCTAACCTGATTCTTCACGAGTTCGTAATATTACTATATCATAATCACTGTACAAGTGATTCATGATGAGATGCACGTCTTCAGCATCCGATTTATCTCCCTAGCTTAACATGTCGTGTTATCGGTCAGGTTACACCCACTCACTATATACTGGCCTGCATATTGACCACTGCAGTGCGTCTAAACCATCGGTCACATGGCTGCTGTTTGAACCAGAGATTAATCCATATCAAAGGAGATGTTAAATTGTTAATGTCGGGATATCTATGTTTATGTGTAGTGTCCGAGGGAAGATCCGGCCGCAGTTCACCTGTAGCGTGATAAAACCGGCATCTTGAAGGGAAGAACTGACACGGGCGCTGTACGCCGCCTCCAGCAGCGGCCGTACTATCTGTACTGAAAGGTCAAACACAAGAGTTCCCTGGTGGGCCGGTTGTCGGAGTGGAATCAAAGCTAGGTATCTATATCTAAGGTGGATCTGGGAAGCTCATCACAGCTCTATATGCCTCTAGGTGAGGTGTGGGGCTATTTAGAGCTGTTGTGGAGCAGAGCTGGGAAGCAATTGGGTTAATGGGGGCTCTTACCGAAGGGAAATATGCGCTATACTGTATATCTCTGTGTTGGTATCAGGGGTGGTCTCGGGGTCAGCCGTTGTCGGGGGAGTAAGGGGTAGATCTGGAGTGTATAAGACTGTACAGGCATGTTGAGGAGGTGAAGGATTCTACCATTGGCCAAACACACATGTAGTTCTCTTGTTTTTGTTCTATCACTGGCTTGTATCGAAGGATAGTCCGGATTCTACAACTAGCTTGAAGGGTTTAGTCTTGGTTCTAACGTCGGACAGTTATCAAACGGAAATATCACTGGGAGGGGCACCGGGTAGCCGTGGTTAGAGCGTTTGTTTGTATGGCCGAGAACCCAGTTTCGATTCCCCAGATGGGCAAATTGTGTAAAGCCAATTTCTGGCGTCCTTTCATCGTGTTGATGAAAATTACTAAATGTGCGAAATTGGCACCTCCGGAAGCGCTCGTTAAATCTCAATCATCATCATCATAATAAATGTGGCTCACACCCTACCCATCCACTGGCCAAGACACAGGTGTGAATGGGTAGCCTTTGCTCAACCATTGGGCAGGCATCAATGAATAGTCAGTGTTCTACCATTGGATAGGCATCAATGAATAGTCAGTGTTCTGCCATCGGACAGGCATCAATGAATAGTCAGTGTTCTACAATTGGATAGGCATCAATGAATAGTCAGTGTTCTACCACTGGATAGGCATCAATGAATAGTCAGTGTTTTGCCATTGGACAGACAGCAATGAATAGTCAGTGTTCTACAACTGGATAGGCATCAATGAATAGTCAGTGTTTTGCCATTGGACAGACACCAATGAATAGTCAGTGTTCTACCACTGGACAGGGCAACCATGGTTCTACTATCGGACAAATAATGTTTCCCATG